AAAGGCATATTTTATGTATTAAAAAAAACACACACACACAGAAACTAACCTGAAAAACTTTCCCTGGTGAAATCTGAGCATAAAAATAACAACAGTAGAAAATTATAATGCACTGAATAAAATAGGAATCTAAGAGTTCATACTGATATAAAAAAAGTTTTGTTTGTTTAAGGGAGTGGGATACAGAGATGGCATTCTCCTTATAGCAGAATGTCAATCTAATACAGAACAGAGTTATTTCACAATCACCCATTCAAAACAATCACACTAAAAACTGGGGCTGTAGCTCAGTGAAACAGTACTTGCCTAGCATATGAGAGACTCCAGGTTCGAAACCCACCTCCACAAGGTCGGGGCAGGAGGTGGGGGAGAATTCAAAAACCATCATGTTTGTCTTAGTGGGTCTGGGGTACTAATATAAATTAGCCATTAGGTGGCTTAAATAACAAACTATTTCTCACAGTTTTGGAGGCTGGAAAATCTAAGATCAAGACACCAATAGATCTGGTGTCTGGTGAGGGCTTTCTTCCTAGTTTGAAGGTGACCATCTCTTCTTGTGAGACCTCAATATCGTAGAGAATAGAGAGAATGTGAGCAAGTTTTTGTGTCTCCTATTAAAGGCCCTAATCCCACCGATGAGGGTTCTTCCATTGAAACACCTCCTAAAAGGCCTGGCCTCCTAATAACATCACAACAGGAGTTAGAATTTCAACATATGAACTTTGGGGAACACAAACATATCCATAACAATGTTAATAATTAATTCAGGGAAAAAAAACACTGCTGGCTGCTAAAACTAGTAGGTGGAAATAGAATGAGGAATGGTATAATCACACAGTTTCAAAGTATCTCCACTAATTTCAGAGAGTTACTTCATAGTGAAAAAACTTTAAAGACTTCATCTTAATCAAGTGGTAAAAGTCAACAACAGCAAAAAGAGGACAAATCAACAACATGAATAGCCTAACAATAAGCAATTAAAGAACACAGTATCACTTAAGGGACTGTTCCAATGAAAACATACATGGATCTAATCATAAACAAACATTAGACTAACTTAACTGAGGAACACTCTATAAAAATAATTTTTCTAAAAATCTACCCAGTATTTATCTTACCAAAACCAAGAAGTCATAAGTCAAGGAAAGAGTGTTCCAGACTGAAGAAGTCTACAAAATGTGATCTACAAACCCATATTAGATATTTTTTTCCATAGGACACATTATTGGGAGCATTGCTAAAAACATTCATGTAGTCACTGATTACAGAAGCCCTTTGAATTGTTCCTGCAACTTTTCTGTAAACTTTAAAATTGTTCTCATCTTTTCTCCCCACAATAAAAAGAACTGCTGTGTACACTCCACTGACACAAAACCAAACTACTGATTATTATGGCTTTTCTAAATGCTGAGAACACTACCAATATACCCAACTGTTGTCTTTGCAGGGTTTATAATGCAATTTTTTTTTTTCCTAAAACAACAGCTGTTCCCTATTCACAATGTCTTTTAGGTAGGAAATTTTTCATGAGCCCACCTAAGAGAGAATAGCTTACAAACAGCCAGATATATGTCAGACAGTAGTAGCTGTAGCTTCTGTGACAAAACAAAACCCAAGACATTACTGAAGACAACTGGACACAGTGCAAGTATAGGAAGGTGTGGGTAGTCAAGCACTCTCTATGCCATCCCTTACTTTACTTTTCTTCATAACAACTATTTAATTATTTGCTTACTATCCATAATTTACTAAGATGTAGTCAACTTGAAGGTACAACCTTCTTACTCCCAGGGGATAGAAGAGCATTTGACATATAATATTCAAAAAAAAATTTAACAAATGACTAAACATATCATATAGTATGAATGCTATATCCTGAAGACAGAGGCTGTACCTTGTTTTAATGCCCCTGGTATAGTTAAGAAAACTGATCACTAATGAACTATTAATAACCAATGGATTTTAAAAGTAAAATAACAAATTGAGTGTGTTGGTGTGCACCCGTAATCCCAGCAATTCAGGAAGCTAACGCAAGAGGATTGCAAGTTCAAGGCCAGCCTCAACAACTTACTGAGACCCTATTTCAAAATTAAAAATAATAAAATAAAATAAAAAGGGCTGGGATATAGGTCACTAGTTAAATACTTGCCTAGCATGTGTTTATTAATAACCAGAAACTCTAAGTACTTGTGTGAAGCCCTGGGATTCAATCAACCTCAAGGGAGGTAGGGAGAATATACATGTCAGAACCCAAATAAATTACTATGTGTCAGAATCATGGGATACAGTCTTAGCAGCTGGCTTAAAGGAAATTTTCAAAGCCCTACTTATATTAATAACTAAGAAAGAAAAATAATTACCCAAGTTAAATGTTAGATTTCAAAAAAGGGGTAGGGGGAAGGTACAGTCTTTTTAGAAGGCAAACTCACAACATCTATCAAAATTTATAATAAAGATGCCTTTTGACATCTTTAGAAATTCTGCTTTGGCTATCAATCTCATAAAAACTATTGTTTCATAAAGATATCATGTACTAGGATTTGTTGCAGCAACATTTTGTACTGTAAATAGAGTGACTAGCCAAATTATTTAGTATAGTCTCACTATGGACTATTACTTAACCACTTAAAAGAATTAAAGTTAAGTCAAATATCTTGAAGGGATTTCTACAAGCACTAAATGCAAAAGTAATGTAGAGAAAAGTATGTATAACATGATCCCTAACATGATCTTTTTTGTTGTTGGTACTGGGGATTGAACCCACAGGCACCCTACCACTGAGCCACAACTCATCTTACATATTTCAATTTTATTTGAGAAAAGGTCGGGCCCAAGTCTCCCAGGTTGGCCTTGATTTGCAATGCACCTGCCTCAGCATCCTGAGTAGCTGGGCTTACAAGAATGTACTACCATGCCCAGCTAACACGAATTTATTAATAACCAGAAACTCTAAGTACTTATGAATATAGAGAAAATACAGAAAAATATATACTGAGATGTTAAGATGGCTATAGCAACTAGGATCCATATATGATTTTATTTCATTAATAAAAATTTCAATAGACAAAGGAACACTTAAAAAATGGGAAAAAATAAGATTAACAGGGCTCAGGTTGTGGCTCAGTGGCAGAGCACTCGTCTGGCTCATGCAAGGCACTAGGTTTAATCCTCATAAAAATAAAGGTATTATGTCCACCTACAACTAAAAAAATACATATTTCAAAAAATAATAAGATTAACAGAAAATATTTAGAAAGCTAAAAATACAACTAAAATAAATTTAAGAACCATTTCTTTGGGGAAGAAAAATAAACTATAAGCTAATCCAAATTTTTAAAAGTTTTGTTTTTATCATCTACTTTTCACATAAAGGTCTTAATTACATTAGATATTATTTTGACAAACCAGACTTCCAATATCACATTTTCTCAAATATTTGTCTGAACACTATTTTTTGAAAAGTTCATTCTTTCACATTTGCTTGGAATGCCACTGTTGCCAAATCCCAAACTCCTAAATATACCTAGGTTTGTTTCTGAAGTGTTTTGCTGTTCTATTTGACTGTAACTGTGTACATTTCTACAGTTTTACAATTTGAGGTATATGGTTTATGGTTCTCTTGGGAGAGAATCTGCCATGAGATCTGAATGTCCCTGCACAAATTTGCCTGTATACTAAATTGCAAGACCTAACTACTCACTGATAGTAAGCAATTTCCGTAGATGGTTACAGAAATGGTTAAATAGATCAAGGTAGCCACAGGAAGATTATCAAATGGCTGGTCATTCCTAGAGAAAGGAGGATTGGCTTGCTTTCTACTTACTACTAAAGGTACTGAGCTCTTGACCCTGGGTTCTTTGGGTCACTGAATCTCTCTCTGCCTATCACATTGCTAGGTGGAATTTGAGATCAAGGAATTAGTGCTACCAAGCTATTGTTCCTGCCAGCTGCTGTCCTGTGAACAATCTCATCCACTTAATCTTATTGTCTACTTCTGGCATATATAGAGTTGTGGCATTTGGTTCCTTGCCATACTCTATGAGATTGAGGTTCTTTTCCCCAAGAGTTCATAAAGGACTCCATTTACAACTTTCATTACAACTACTGTAAAATATTTAGAAAACAAATAAATGAAAACAAATTATAACCTGGCTAAACTGTCCGTCACTTTTATTACACCAACTGTTCTATTAGATGCCCTCTATAAGTAACCCAAACTAAAAATGACTGAGCAAAATGTGTTTTCCCATCAAAATTTTATTGATCAAAATAAAGCAACTGAAGAGCTGGGATTGTGGCTCAGCGATAGAGTGTTCACCTAGCATGTGCAAGGCCTTGAGTTCTATCCTCAGCACCACATAAAAATAAATAAAATAAAGGTATTGTGTCCAAATACAACCTAAAAAATTTTTTTTAAATAAAAAATAAAGCAATAGAGAGAACACTTTATAATAGGTGATAATTTGTAGAAGGGAAACCATTAAGATAGAGAAAGAGGGCCAGGGGCGGGAGGAGGAAAGAGTAACAGGAGGTATTAAGGAATAATATTGATCAAATTGTGTTTTATGCATGTATGAATATGCCATAAAGAAACTCACTATTCTGTATAATTAATAGGTACCCATAAAAAATTATAAAAAATAGAAGACACTTTGTATGGATTCAAGTATTTTCAGGATACTTCTGAAAAAAAATGCTTAATTTTTAATTAAGCAAACTGAAACCTCATAATCCATACCACACTCTAAGAATAATTTAACAACTTGCAAGAATACATTAATAATTCATTATTCTAATCATATCTTTATTATCAATTACAAAATGCCAATAGATATAGAACATTAGTTATGGGTCACATTAGTCACAAAAAGAATATAATGCTTGTTGCTTTCAAAATTTTAAATCCTAATGAAATACTTCATCTATGTGCCTTAAAATTAGATTTCTACAGCACAAATCTAAAAGTCAAAGTACTTATGTTATTATTTCTATCTTTTTACCTGTAGTCAGGCTGTCGGTTTGCAGAATGGTCATCTCTTGTCCATCTATAACCAGATTCATCCTGTAACATAAAAAAAGTTACTTGGACACTTGTTATATTATTTTGATCATGTTCAATATGTCTAACAGTATTACGGAAATTAACCTCTAAGGCCAAAACACTATGAAGACAAAAACACTTTTCTAAATCTTCCTAAAGCTTTAAAGGCATAAAAAAGAAAATTAAAAATAAAAAAGATACAGCACGATATCCATTTCAACAACTAAAAATAAACTGACCAAGAACCTGTGGTTCCATTTATCTTTTTTAAAAAATTACATTATTTCCTTGACAGACCCACATAGGCTTATTGTCAAAAACACACATACCATATGATAATAGTCAATGGCTTCTGAGGACCAGGTATAAATTTTGATGCATACATTTCTCATTTTCTAAGTTTTCTCATCTATTTTCAGATTCAAGCTCAATGAAGAACTTGCTACTTTTTTTGGAGGCGGGGTGAGCAGGTGGCTCAAACACAGGGCCACATGCATGCTAGGCAAGTACTCTACCACTAAACCCAGCCTAAACTTACTACTTTTTCAACTTTTCATGTTCAAATTTTCATTTTTCATCTTATGCCTCATCAAAAAACTACAATTAGAAACTATATAATAAGAAATTGTCAAAACTACATTAGACTAATATGTGGCACTAAATTTAAACAGATGAACCATATTTGTCCTTTAAGACATAACTACATAGATATATAGAAAGAAGCCAAATAGTAATTCATACCCAATTACTTTAGAATGACACATAGAATATAACATGTAATATCTTCATCTTCCTCTTTAACATTATATTCCTTATTCTTCCATAAGTAAAATGTACCTAACATTTTCCTTCTCAACATTAAATAAAAACAAAACTTCACAGCTATCATAAAATATTGGATCAAGTAAGCAATTTATATAAATCAACTCCAAATAAGAATTAGTGTCAGGAGAATCCTAGGATCACAAATGTACTTATTGTTTGTTTGAATAAAATTTAAAGAAAAAAAATGTAATATAAAGCATGACAACAAACATGATTTATAAGAATATAAAACAAAAGTACTACTATTGAAGCAACATTATGCTACAAGTTTTTTGGGCAAAATCATGTTCGTGAGGTTTAAAACACAAGTCCAATAAATACAAAACTCCCTCTACACTTAATGGTCACACAAAGTTTTGATAAAAGGGATAACTTTTTCCTTTCTTTGAAACAGGGTCTTGCTATGTTGCTCAGGCTAGTCTCAGAACTCATGACCTCCAGTGACCCTCCTGCCTCAGTCTCACAAATAGAGACTGAGAGCATATGATACCATACCCAGCTTGTGATAACACATTTTTATACTATGGGACAAACTGTTTCTCCATGAGAATAACTGAAGAATGGCTCTGATGGCAAATTCCAGTATTACTAAAAGAGAGATAATACGTAGTATTTACTTTTCAACACATACTACCCCCTTCCTAAAGGAATGGCATGACATTTAAAAGCTGAACAAAATAAAAACCAATTCTAAGACAAGAAAGAATCTATAACACACCTCAAACTTTAGGAAAACAAGAAAATACTGAATAGTGTTGTTACCACTTTAGAATTGTCAAAAATCAGTATTATGTAATAGAGAACTGTGCTCCCATAAGATAACTATCCTCTGTAAATTGCCTTACCTCCATTCCTTCAAGTGTAAAGTATGGAAAATAATCCAATGGCCAATATGAGGTCAAATTTTACTATAAACAGTGTTTCAATATTTCAATTAATTACCATATTATATATAGTACGGAAGGGGAAAAAATAAAAGGTAGGAAAACAGTCTGGAAGAAGAATACTGTAAGTATGCAAGCTAGAACAGAGAAATTGCATCAAAGAACAGTTTCAATCAAGTTAATAACAAATTACTGTAACCTTAATACACACTTCTAGATCAAGAGAAATAAATTATAATTGCGGTAGTAATAACAGCAGCTAACATTTTAAAGTGCTTACTATATGAAACAATGTTTTAAGTGCTTTCTAATTTGAATTAGAAAATAGCCTTTAAGAACTATAACAAAAATGAGACGGTCAACAACCGTAACTTTAAGAACTATAACAAAAATGAGACTATCAACAACCTTAACCCACTTCACCCATAGCATTTCATCATGATGAAAATAATGAAAGTAATTTCAAGTGGGTTCATCCAGTAAGACATGGTAACCATCTGCTTATCACTTAAGCACCCAGGCAACAGATTATCTTTATATGGTTCTACAAATCCCTGACAAGTAAGGGGATTAAAAAGCAGGCTAGTTGGAATGAATGTCATTTAGAGCTATCCAGAGCATTTTTACCCACCCTGTCCAACACCCCAAGATTCTTGACTACTAGTTCCCATTTGACAGCTCCAGCAAAATTCAACAGAGCATCAGCAGGAAGTGTTAATCAACTGCTTTCATGGCTGTCACATAAATTTTTATTACATGAATTTTAACTTATAAGAAATAACAATTAGTACATGGGGGAAATTTACATACTCCTCTGTGAGGTGGACCACTTCTTCGATCATGAGAAAAACTGCGGCCCTCGTCATATTCTCGGTAATCAACATGACTGTAATATCTACTGTAGCTTCCTTCACCAGGTCTGTCTAGCAGTGGTGGTTTCTTTGGCACAATATTAACTACTCTATGGTAGCCATCCTAAAACAGACAAAAAGAAATATATAAAAATCACTAATTTCTCTACTTGGTTTTGGAACTGTTTTTTTAAAAGCACAGGAGTTTTTATCCTCTATCAAATAGGCTAAATGTATAAACAAAAATGCATTAATGAAACATGAATATAATAGTAAAGTCTTCACATGAATTAAAGAAACTAAAACTGTTCAACAAAGCCAAGTTTTCAAAATAACGTGCAACAATGGGAAAAATCAATCATAAGAAAAAAATTATCATTTTAATAAAAAATAAACTTCAGACAGTAAAAATGTTAGCTCTACCCTTAATTTCCTAAGAAATTTAGAAATAAAACATGGCAGCACACACATTTTATCTACTTGTTTGAACTAGTCTACTTAGAAAAAAACGCAAGATTTTGACACATAAGCAACAGCAAACAGGGAGATGATAATGAGTTAAAAAGATTACAAGGAAGGAAGCATTTTGTTATTTTTCCAGCAGCAATAAAGAGGGGCAAGCCATTGCCTTCACAAGTTTGGAAGCAAAATAAAAGCTAACACAAAATCTGAACTAGTTTTATTCTTGATGTTTTAACATTTTAGCAACTGAGTAAGGGAGGAGTGTTGGACTTGGGGAATCTGACAGAGGGAGAACATTGTCTTAGGTTGGTAGCTGATGTGAAATAACAATTAGAAGCAGAGAGCTATGACACATGTATCTGTGATCTGATCTAGGACATGGATAGTACATGGGCAAGAAATTTGAAAGCTTGGTGATTTTGTGATTCCAAAAAAAAGCCTTATAAAACATAAAGATCTGGGGCTGGGGATGTGGCTCAAGTGATAGCGTGCTTGCCTGGCATGAACTGGGCACTGGGTTCGATCCTCAAAACCATATAAAATTAAAAAATAAAGACATTGTGTTCACCTAAAACTAAAAAATAAATATAAAAAAAAAGAAACATAAAGATCTGTTATTTACACATCCTAAACCTCAGTTTCTTATCTACAAAATGGAATTACTACTAATACCCACCTCCTGGAGCTGCTGTGAAGACTAAATGAGAAACTGAATGAAAAGTGTCTAACACACACTAACTGCTCAAAAATGTTTGTTACACTGATTACTACCTTTGCAGATGTATATTTAAGGGAAAAAAAAAAAACCTCAATTCCTTAAAGTGCTTCCTTATATTACTTCTTAGCATTAGTCAAAATAATTATTGAATTGTTATTAAATTATTATATAACATTCAAATGATTAAGAAATTTGTCAATTACAAGGAAAAAATTAATAGTTTATATCTATTTGAAAGCTACAAAAAAATCAAAATAATTTTTCCACGGACATAAAAACTGGTTTCCCTCTTTAGTGCATTAGATTACTGAAGTGTAAGATAAGGGCTAGGGATGTAGCTCAGTGGTTGAGGCCCTTTTTTTTCTTTTAATGCTCTGTGCTTGTGTTTGTTTCTTCCCCCCTCTCTCTCACACACACACAAACTTTAAGATATGTTCTTTTTAAATAAAATATGATACACAAGTTATAGTCATACTTTTTTCCACAAACTACCTTTCACAGAGATTGCAATTAAATCTAAGAAAATATGGTGTTTCAAAAAAATAATTTGGCTCGATGGACATGGCAGTGATAGGAGTCTTGGAAATCAGGATCTGGTCCTAGTCCCTCCCCCCGACCCCCCACTCCCCACCCCCCACTCCCCACCCTCGTGTTCCGTGTTGAAGATTCAACACCGGAGATGCCAGGGCAAGCACAGAAAATACAAAGCAAGTTTTATACCCCAGGTTCCCAGTTTTCCTCTCCCTTCCCACCTGCCAATTGGTATTCATTAGCAACTCCTTGTGTTGGGAGGACTGAAGTGATCCGCCGCCCCCCCCCCCCCTTGCAGATGTTAACAACCCATTTCCTTTTCTTTTATAATCGCCAATTAGTACTCCACTTTCTAACTGGATCATTTACTATCTATGCTGACCACCTGTCTTTCGCCTCAGTATCAGCACTTCATGCCTGTAATTCCAGGTTGAGACAGGAGGATGAAGGGCAGCCTGGGCAATTTAGACCCTGTCTCAAAACAAAAAGGGCGGGGGGGGGGGGGGGGGGGTGGGGGGAGGGGGGGGAGGTGGGGGGGGGGGGGGGGGGAGGGGGGGCGGGGGGGGGTGCAGTGCAGGGAAGTAGTTAAGTAGTACCGCAGTTGCCTAGCATATGTAAAACCCTGGGTCCAATCCCCAGCCCTGCAAAAATACAAATATCTTTAGGCCAAAATTAACAAAATTACAATTTAAAACAAACATCTTTCTCTCCCTTTTCGCCCCCTCTCTCTCCTTCCCCCCCCCCCTTTCCCCCCTTTGGTGTTGCTGGGGATTGAACCCAGGGCTACATGCATTCTGCCACATAGTAAGCATTTCTAATTCAAAAGTTGCTATTCATAAAACTAAAATAGGGCTGGGGATGTATCTCATTGGTAGAGCATGCACAGGGCCCTGTGTTCAGTCCCCACTACTACAAAACTAAAAAACAGAATTAGAATAACTAATTTTTCCAATTCCAAAGAATCATAAAAATTAAATTCTACAATATTCTAAAATGTTTATATATACTTCAAAAGACTTTCATGAATAGAGTTAGCTTCTTACTTTACAAAGCAATCTGTTGCTTTGTTAAACTGCCCCAGTTACCAGAAAGTTACTTCAAGATTGTAAATTTTACATGATAAAACTTTCAAAGTAGTTAAAACTCATATCACATTTATATATTTTAAAAATTGCTTTACCACCTAATAAAATCATTCATATGATCATTTACTATCTACGCTGACCACCTGTCTTTTCGCCTCAGTATCAGCACTGCATGCCTGTAATTCCAGGTTGAGACAGGAGGATGAAGGCCAGCCTTCATAAACTTAGCAAAAGAGAAAAATCCTATTAACTTGCAATCTGCCAATGAATATCAAATGAGCAATTCCTTTATGTTTTGAGAAAATGTTTAAATAGTAAGTACATTGTGCTATTTCTGCTCTTTAGACAATTAATCTTAAAGAAAACTCCCTTTCTATATGAAAAGAATTAAGGAAATGAAGACAACTGTAGGAGTCTGTAACAAAGCAGGGTCGTATTTTCAGAGATTCCAGGAGGCACCAGGTTTGATCTTCAGTACCACATAAAAATAAAAATAAATAAAGGTATTGAGTCCATCTACAACTAAAAAAATATTTTAAAAAGAAATAAAATCAATGGAGTTGAAACATTTCTACTATTTCATAAGCAGATATTTCAAATGTCATGTTTGCATATAAAAATCTTAGTTTACTCAATGAAAGCAACTGTTATTGCTCTGTTCATTATGGAAAATATTTGTATATCATCATATGAATGTATATCTACGTATCAATGACTAAATATCCCTATTCATTTAAAAATTATAATTTTCAGTGGGCATTACTAGAATTTCCAAAAATATTCATAGAACTTAATGGATTTATTTCTCCAAGTTAGTAAGAAAGGTGTGATCCATCAGGCAGACCCAAAGTAAAAAGTATATGTTGCTAATTTTTTTTTTTTTAAGTCTATTTTACTCAATCATTTGTCAACTCTGGCACAATACAGAAAGAAAAACACTAGTACATAAGCTTAAATATTTTTTTGAACAGTTAAACTTGTATGAAATTTCTATTTTCACATTTATCACTGTTTGGAGTGAGACAACTACCATCACAAGGCCCTGTAAGGTTTATGGAATAATTTTTCAGTTTATGCTAATGAAAATTTGGTCAGAATAAAACATCAAATTAATTTACCAATTTAGAAATCTGAAATGGTATACATGTTTTGTTAAAAAGTAACAAATTGTATTTTAATTTACTATACATTCCATTTAATATAACTACCTGTTATGAGAAACACTTTCATTTTTAGAAAGTAAAGGTTGCAAGTGGATGATTTTTATTTGGTTCACTGTATAAATCAATGCCAAACTTTCCACATGTTGAATCTCATAATTAACTGAGTACAAGTTTTGTGGAAAACCTTAGTTCTTTCAAAACATTTCTTGAGACTATGAATATATGCTCTAAATGGCAGAGCATATGCTTAGCATGCCTAAGGCCCAGAGTTTAAAACACATACACCAGATTTTTTTCTTTGCCCAGTTCTACAAAAATAAATAAAATAAAAATGTTGATATATAAACCCCCTCCCTTAAACATCCTTATCCATTAGACACATAGTGAAATATTTATTTACATTTGAAAAATGAATCATTGATTTACTTCAAAATCTGGGAAAGAAGTAAATGGCAGAGACACAGAAAAAACAAATTTGCAAGGAGTAGATAATTGTTGCTTGGATTATATATCCTTTGGGAGATGATTATATTGTAATTTTTATATAATTTTTTCCTTATAAAAAGTCAAAAATAGGACAGAGGTTGTAGCTCAGTGGCAGAGCACTTGTCTATCATGTGTAAGGCACTGGTTGATCCTTAGCACCACATAAAAATAAATAAAGGCATTCTGTACATCTACAACTACAAAAAAAAATTTTTTTTAAAGTAAAAAAATGACTCTTATACTAGTGCACTAGCAAAGTAAGTATGATGGCACATCTAAATAATTAGTGGTTTTACTTCCTATCATAATCAACTTACAACATGAACATAGCTTACAGATCCTTGCTGGTCTTACTCATTGAACAAAGCACCTACAAAAGTAGTTGTCACAAAGTAAGCAGTTCATAAGTTCATACATAACATACATTCCATTTTGCTATCTAAATTTTATTTTTCTTTTGTCATCACATGCTTTATTATAAAAAAGATACCATACAAAACCATATGTAACTCAAAACTATTACACAGGCTGGAAGACTTTTCCTTTCAAAAGCTTTGAGGTTTTGAGGTCATATTTTATGACATTTATTTTTATCACAGCACTCACTGATTCTTTTGGAGATTATAAAATTTTAAACTTAGGTTCAGAGCATTAGTAACTTACATTTTGGGCACTAAGA